TAATAGCTTCTTGTTACTAGTAAGGCACTTGTTACTAGTAGCGATGCCAGCCCCTAGTAGCGTCGTTTCTCATCTGAGGATTCGGCTAGGCTTTGGAGATTTGGCTCGGTCGGGCGAACGTGTTCGCCCTCGTGCTCCCGCGCGCTAGGTGCTCCAGTTCTCTCGCGACTCCGGTTCTCTGTCTTCTCGTCTCTGTCTTCTCTCGTGTCTCTCATCTCAAACTTTGCACTTTGGCTTCTGCTTTCGCCACGGCCATCCTGGCAACGATTCCATAAATCCGAGAAACACTTACGTTGAGTAAGCACGAGTTGCAAACGAAACTTTAAGCCAAAAACCAAAACAACTTGTTCAATTGTTCTCTAGGCACCTTGGCACGCACTTTGGCTTGTGCACTGTAGCAGCGCAAGAACGATGATTGGCCAATGCCATCATCGCCCAGCATACAAGCGTGTAAACATCGGTCGTGGCGATCCATCGCAGTTTTCACCTGGTGATCGAAGGAGCATGAAGGAGCTTTAGACATTATATAGTAAATGTGCTCTCTTTCTGTGGACCTTTCTTCCTTTGTTCTTCACTGATTCCTTTTTTTCTTTCTTTACCTCCTCTGAACAGTCGACTTTCACTTTTTGAGATCCTGACAATTGCCGCCGCCCATCTCTCTGTCTCTGTTCCGTTGAGCCATAAGAGGGCCGGAGTTCATCTGCCATGTCACTTGCCAGGCGTTGCAAGAAGGTACCTCCAACACTTTGGCTTTGGGCACGTGTTCAATTGTCTCGTGGAACATCAGTTGCATATCATTACTCTTTGTGCATTGCTGCATTTCTTTCAAATGGCCGCCCTGCGGGAACTGTATTGCTATCCGGTGAAACACCCATCCTGGTGATCTGTTCGTTCGTTTCACAAACTCACCAGGAGTCTTTGATGATCATGAAGCAGCTGTTGAAAAACCGGGAATGTGACGGCTGCCGAATCGATACTTCCGACCGTGTCGACAGTGTGAGCCGTATCTCCCGTGTCAGTTCTGTCCCGTGCCGTCTCAGGGATGGGACAGCTACCGCTTTCTGAGCTGTCACTGCCTGCGCTTTCGCTTTCTAAACTGAAATGCTCAAAACTGAAATGAATCGCATGTCGTCACGTTGCGTTGCCAATTGATCTTGACACAGCTGGTAGCAGCAGTAGCATGCCAGTGCGGTGGGGATGCCGAATTGGAAGTGAACTCGTTTCATTGCAAAGCAACTCCATCAACTGTTCTTTCATGAATTGCTTTCCTCACTCAACATGTCTTACATGCCGCCAAGAAGCTGCTTTCAACCAAAAGACTCAGCGTTAATGGATCCTTAGGCGCGCGGTGTATACACTTGATGCGTTACTAGGAACAGGCATCGCTACCAAGAACAAGGACGCTACTAGAGGGCATCGCTACTAGGAGCAAGAACGCTACTAGGGGCTCCTGGCGGAACTACTAGGACTAGGAGCAAGAAGCTACTAGGAACAATAAAGCTACCATTGATTTACCTATCGAGCGTTGAATGACACTTTCCCCTTTCACCGCTTGGTCAGAGCAATAGCACTGACCCAACACGAACCCTGCACGCGGCAAACGCTCACAAACGCACACACCATCCTTGGACCTGGGTCCTGATCTCCGTAACAAAGCCTCAAACCCAATAGAAAAAGAAACCTAAAAATAGCGATGGCCTCCACCGTACTAGCGATGGCCTCCATCCTAAGACCAAAAGCCTCCATCCTAAGACCGAAAGATACCGAAAGCCTCAAACCCGATAGCGATGGCCTTCACCCTGATAGCGATGGCCTCCATCCTACGCATCCTAAGAGCGAAAGCCTCCAACCTAATAGCGATGTCCTGCAACCTACTAGCGATGGCCTCCAACCTAATAGCGATGGCCTCCATCCTCAGAGCGATGCCCTCCACCCTACTGACGATGGCCTCCAACCTGAGAGCGATGGCCTCCACCCTAGTAGCGATGGCCTCCAACCCACCCTCCCATGCTGTCCCTCGCAGAAAATGGGCATTCAAAGAGTCTCATCATGGTGGTTGTCACAAGAGCGGCGCCGGACCTCTGCACCGCAAGACAAGGGTTCAAGTTTTCTCCCTTCCTGGACAGCGACGCCCAAATGCACACCATCCCATCATAGCCCATCGACACAAGTTTCTTCAAAAAGACGCCATTCACTGGACTCATCCTCTCCAGCTGTTTCCCGCGGCCAACCCACCATGTTGACAGATTGTGCTCGCTCGCCCACGCAAAGACCCCAAACCAAAACTCATGCATTGAAGATGCGCTTGGTAAAACTGTGACGAATACTGAATACTGTGAATGTCAGACAAGTGCAAATCATATTCAATAATACTGTGAACATTGAAGTGCAAGTGCCAAGTCAGAAACAAAGATTCACAGCGCCCTCCAAATGGTTGCACAAGGCACGAGGCTCTTTGCCAAACACATGTTGTTTCGTGCTGGCTCTTTCTCTTGGTTGCTGGGATCGGTGTGCTACAATCAAAGCAACCAGGAATCAAGCTTGCGGATCAGGTTAAGTCGGTAATTTTTTCCTTCATGTTCCTTCCCTTACTTCTTCCTTCCTTTATCCTCCTTCTGAAGTGTCTTGATCTCTAGTGAGGTAGCCGTGCGCAATGTCTGCTAAGGATCTCCATCCACTTTTTTCCCGCTCCACTTGACCATTCCTATAGCTACTATCAGTTGTTTGATTCTGGATGTCAAACTGATGAAGGATTTATAGGTCCTATATCCCCGAATATGGTTGTATGCTGCAGGGAACTCAGAGTGACAAGGTTCACTTCCACCTTCATGGTGGTTGAAATGGAGTCGATTCAATCCGCCCTACATTCAAATACTACACCACCCAAACATGCGAAACATTTACGTGTTAAACTTGACTGCTGCTAAAGGCAAACGACAACCTCATTCTTCACAACCTTGCGTCCTCTCCCTCTCTGGCTCGTATATGTAACGAACACACTCACCTCCCGAACAATCAAAAGAAGTAACAAATGTGACGCCGACAATTGTAACAAACACGTGGAACCATATGCAGCTCAGCGTTTTCAAAACCACTAAGACAAGAGCAGCATCGGGCTCGTCTTGAACAGGTTTGCGTTCCTTCCTCCTGAGCATACGCTCGTGTTTACTAGTTTGATTCTCGCACGGTTCCTTTTCGCAGCAACGAATCGACTCAAGGCGCCTGCTCAGCCAAATAGCAGCGACGGTGCATCAACTGTACGCAATACACCCTGGCTACAATCGGTGAAATTCACACCCGTCTTATCTACAGGTGTGTTGCGGGCTTCACAGTTCAAAAACTATACAAAGTCAGCCAAGCAAACTCGATTCCCCGTGGGGCCGTAAACCATGCCTTTCCATACTGAATTCTCAAAACAAGTCAGGTGAGACTTCTTCATCTTCCTTCTTGGCTCCCTTCTCGCATGCGCCACTGTTCTCAACATTGACAAGTCCACTTTCCAGTGTCTTGAGGAGGTAGTCTGGCTTCATGCTCTTGGTCAACGGGTCTGCCAATTGTTTCGACGTCTCAATCCACCTCAGGTGGTCACCATAGGGACTGTAGATCTCCGATGTCTTCTCGCCATTCACAGTCCACACTCCTTGCCTCAATGCAGCAAGTTCAATTCCCAACCTTTTATCTTGCACTTTCCTGGGAACCTCAGACAATAAGTGGTCTGATAGACTTCTGCAATCGGTGTAGTAGACGTGCGCCATTCGCCTCTGAGTTTCCTCGTGCCAGTTCTTGAAGTCGTCAAGTCGTCCGGTCAACTCACAAATCAGGCACCGTAGGCGATCTCCATGCTCGACAGCAGTTTGCAGAGCATATGCTTCTGCCTGCAACGTAGCACGACACACCCTTTTGAGGGTGGTTGAACCAAAGCTGATCAGATGCATCTTGTGACTGCCTTCCTTGAGGCTACTCGCATTCGTGATGTAGTGAATGCGACCTTGCTGACTTTTGAAGCCCTCTTCATTTGCGAAACTTGCGTCGCTAAATGTCACAACTGCCAAATCGCTCCAGTCAATCCAATCACTCCTTAAGGTGATCTGCAAGTCACTTCCTTGAAGTGCCAATTCAACAACCTTGTTGGTGTTCTTCAAGTCATGTACTGTCGCCTTCGCGCTGCATGCGCGCTGCAGCTCATTCACACGGTAACAAAGGTCTGGTCTTCCATAGCGTGCAACCCAAGCCAAGCTACCAACAACGCTCCTGAGGCTTGTCAACTCTTTTTCTGTCACCTTTTCCGACAGCTTCCGATGCTTGTCGATTTCGATCGGCTTCACTGTTCTGCAGTTCTCACTTGTAGAAATGCTCACGGAGTAGTCTTCATGCTGTACGAACTGCCGTCCGCAGTATCGGAATCTGCCTGACTCGGTTTTGCCAATCGTGAACCTTTTGAGGATGCCTTCAATTGTCTTCTTGCCTTCATCAAGGTAGCAATACAACAAATCGTCGACGTGTGTCGCGATCATGCCAATCAACTTTCCCTTGGGATTTTGCAAATAGTACAACGCAGGTGTGATGCGACTGCATTTCAACCCGGCACTGGTGATCTCACCATTCATCCTCAAGTAAAAGCCTCTGCCTGCATCGATCGTGCCATAGATCGGAAGGCGTGCAACCAACATTGCACCCGGTGGAACATCCGGACTTGGAATTCCACCACGTGGCTGTTGAGCAACAGCAACCGCGTCATCGGTTGACTCTGGAAATACGCTGAAGAAACATCTGCCGCGTGCAGGGTCACGCGATGGCTTGCAGCGAAGCTTGCGATCAACATGTGTCCTTCGGTCTCGGCCGTTGGACTGTTGCAGCGAATGCCCTGTGCACCACGGCTCACCAGCTCGTGGTTTCCACAAGCGACTAAACGAGATCTGTTTTCAGGCTCTGGCGTGCCTGTCAAATGAGCCTGCTTATCCACATCCACCCATTGCATGGGGATGGGGACATGCCCCTCCTGAAGCAACTCTTCCAACTCCTTGCCCCGTATGGGCATGGCGGCGTTGAAGCTCTTGTACTTGCTCCACTCTGCCTGCCTGGCGGCCAGAATGAGTTTCTGCATCTCAGGGGTGCAGCGCTCATACTGCAACGTCCTTGACACCTTGCCAGCTTGCGTCTCGCTGTCCTCTCCGAAGCGCTGAGCAACGAATGCTCGGAACTCTGCAGTGTCATTTCCAGCGTCGTCGAAGGCGGCCATGGCGACTAACGGGTGTCTTACCCGCGAGAAAACGGTGAAACCTGTCCACACGCGAGAGTCAACGTTATCCATGCCCGGCATGGACTCGCTGGTCGCTCGACTGCCGTCTTCATAGACTTTCCTGGTCACGCGTCTTCCTCCGAATCCTTCCGGAACATCTCCGTCATACAGCGGATGGAAGTCATGGAATCTCCTCTTGTTGTGAACACGAATTGCATGACTCTCAGAGATTCTCCAATGGTCTTCATTGTCAACCATTGCAAGCATGACCTCATCGTCACCGACAATGCCTCCGGGGGTCATCGGAACTGCACTTGCGCTTGCACTTGCGCTTGCGGATGATCGGGCAGCCTTGCCCGTCTTATCTTCTGCTTGTGCTTCTCTCTTGTGTCCCTTCTTAGGGCTTGCCTCTTCGTCCATCATTCGGATATACTTCTGCTGTCCCAATGTCACTGCTTCTGGGAAAACCGGGATGTTGTTCAAAATGGAGTAGGCCAAAGATTCACTCTCATTGGCTGATCTGAGTTTTCCAGCAGCACACAAAACAGGAATACCTTCATGTAGCAAACAGATGCCATTATGCGGGTCAACGCCAATCACACGCGAAGCAGTGGACCACACGGTTCCACCTTGCTGGGTGTCACGACGGTAGACCACGAGGTCTCCAACCACAAATGACTTCTTGTTCTGGACTGCTGCATTCCTGGTCAATGCTCTTGCAACACGGGAACTTGTGTCCAAATGGATGAATGCCTTTTGTGCAGCCATGCGGGATGCATGACACAAATGATATCTTGCTGCAGGATCAAGCTTGTTCTCCAAGATGCCTAAGTTTCCTGCTTCATCCGTGTCTGTCACAGATCCTGGAACTCTTGGGTTCCTTCCCAGGACCCATTGTGCTGGAGAATAGCCTTGGACTCTCTGCATGTGGTTCTTCACGGAAGTACATTCATGCAAGCATGTCTCAAATGCATCACGACCTACGGCTTCCATGTCATGGATGGTCTTCCTGAGAATTGCCTTCAAGATACCTTGGTGCCTTTCAACCTCCCCAATGGCTGACGGTGTCTCCAATGGTGCATAGAAGATCTCGACACCGTGCGAAGCGAACAGCTTGGACACCTCACCTCGGTTGTGGACACCTCTATCCATGATTGCAGCCTTTCAAAAACCTGCCCAACTGATCCATCTACGAAGAATGGCTTGTGCACAGGCCTCTGACGTTGGCATACCTCCACCTTCTTTGACAACCTCTGACAAATGGAATCCTGTCGAAATATCCAGCATTGTGAGAATGCTGTACTTGTTTCCTGCATAGTCCTTCATTTCTGTGACGTCAAGGCCAAGCATGGCATTGAACTCATATACTGGAAATTACTGTTTCCTACCGGATGGTCACGGGGACGTGGTGCAGTGTCTTCGCATGACTGACAACGGACAAGACGTGCGGCTTCGATCAACTCCTTGCTTGCCTTACCTGCCTTTAAAATGTTCTTCAAAGTTGACGGTGCAGGATGTCCGAACTGCCGATGCAAGCGACGGATTGCAATGCGGGTCCTCTGGGGGAGAGCACGCCACAACTGCCTTCGTTTCTGTTCCGTCATGTCGGCTCCGGGCAATGCAAGTTGATCTAACATGAGTTCTTCCTGTTCTCTTGCGGACAACGGTTTTCCATCGTCTTGCTTGACCTCCTGGGGAACTCCTTCAATATCACTGTCGTCAATTTCAGAGATGTCTTCAAGTTCGTCTGCAACAAAACATGTCCGTGCAAAATGCTCCAAATAAGTTTCTTCCGACAAGGTATTCAACATCTCTAGGAGTCTTGCTGATTTCGCGTCTTCAAAACACTTTGGAATCATGTTCTCTCCGCACCAACCTTCCAGCGCCTCCAAGAGCTTGGGGCTTTGCGGGCCTGCCAGAGCAAACTCTAGGTCACCACCAAGACAAATGGAATGTTCAACTGATATCTCGAGGAGTGGTGCATACATGTCAACTTCCATGAGCATGTCATGCCAAATCCTCCTAGGGTCCATGTTCTCCAAAAACAAAACTACCAAACCAGGGATCCTGTTCGAGATGTGCTTGATGACCTCTTTGCGGGTCTTTCCCCAACTTGGTCCTACATCGAATACCTTTGCACTCTGGGGTGCATTTGTCAGCAAGTCATCCTTGACAATGACCATGTGTTGCACACTCAACGGATTGTTCGAGACGAGTGCATGCAAGACCGAATCGTTCTCTTGCAAAGTCTGCAGGCCAGTGACGAACGCTCATTTTTCTCCCTTGTTCATAGTCCGATGGTCCAGAGCTACGAAAGCGTGACCTTCGCTATCGGAACTCAGCTCGATCTCTCTTAAGCGGTTCAGGATGAACTTGTCTCGGTCGAGCACCTCACGTGAACTGGTCGGACGATCCGGAATGCTTTGTGTGCTCATGTTAATTAGATCATCGTCTGACAACTCCTTGGGGGCGTTCGACGGGTCAACTGCTGTGCAACCAAGAAACGGTTCGACAAGCTCTGCGTCACGTGGTTCTTCCATGCTTTCCTCCTTGGGGATCTCGGTTGCTGGCTCCACGGGCTCTGCCATGCTCGTTGATTCTGCCTTGATACGTTTTGCTTTTGTCCGTCACCTCCTGGGGCTTCCTCTTCTTCGACTTCCTCCAATTCCACGGGCTTGGAAAATGGAGGTGAGAAGATCAAGATCCTTCCTCTGGAATACCAGTCAAGCTCAAGTGGCTGATTCTCCAAACTGGCCCTCAGCAAAGTCATCTCCCATTGACCCTCGATGTGCTCAAAGCTGGTTACCTGCCAACCATCTTCTTTCATGTAGTCGGTGTAATACGCTCTTCCAGGCTTGGAGGTGTGCTTCCCGTGATCATAGCTCCCGTGCTGAAGAACAATCTTCAC